TTTTCAGTAGCTTCCCGACATCAAAGATTAGTACTGATGCAGTGCCCTCGCCATATTTCTCGAAACCCACAACCACCAGATGAGGAGTCGCGGACAAAGACAGGACTTGCACCGGAAGTTTTCAGTAGCTTCCCGACATCAAAGATTAGTACTGATGCAGTGCCCTCGCCATATTTCTCGAAGAGTAATGACTGCGTAATCTGCTTGGAGGGTTTCTTGGATGATGAGGTCGTCAAGGAGTTGCAACCCTGCCTCCATGCATTCCATGGAGACTGCGTTGACAAGTGGCTCGACAGGGATAACCGTTGCCCATCTTGCAGAGGGTCTCTCATACAGCCCTGAAGCACGAAATCTCTTCTCATTCTGGCTTTTCTGCATTATATTTTATGTTTTCATATTTTTGTAAAAAGGAAGTCCCATAATTACAGTGGAGCATTGTGGTTATAAATTGTCAAGAACTCTCTTTAGCCTTAAATTTCATACCAATGTCTCTCTTTAGCCTTAAATTTCATACCAATGTGTTAAAGGATTCAGTTTTTATGATTCAGTTTTTATGAGTCTTGGACTCTGCATCCCACACAGATGTTGGACTTGCTTTTTTAGATATATATCACTAAAATGAATATCATGAATGTGTAAAAAAACGAGAGTAAATTTTAAATTAAAGGAATAATTTTTTGAAGGGAATTTTAAACAGATGATTCTTCCTTTTTCTGGAGGGAAAGGTTTCTATCCTTCCCCTACGGCATAGAAGTTCTATCCGCCTCTATCATCCAACTATTCAATAGTGATTAAGAGAGTCACCCAACATTTGATCTTAGATCCGACGTGTCAGAGTATTTTATTTTTAGTTTTTTTATACAAATTATATAAATATGAAATTTGGTACGTGCCATATTCTCATTGAGGCGCATCTATAAAAAATATTAAAAATAATTTTTGAAAAAATATAATGATAAAAATACCCTTTGAAACTTTCACGGGTATTTTGATCATTTTATTTTATTGAAAATACTTTTTTAATATTTTTCACTAGTGCAAGTTTAATAGAGGAATTGACGTCCAAAATTTGGTGTCAAAATAGTTTATAGAAAAAAAATAAAAATAAAATAGTCTAGAAACGTGACATTGTGATTGGCGCATTCTTAACCCTCAATTCGGAATTGACCTTGGATAAGGGGAGGATAGAACTTCTATGCTATAGGGAAGCATAGAAAGCTTGCTCTTTTCTGGAGGGACCACAACTACATATTCATCATTAAGATGGATATGTGATGCCTTGGGGGATGCAAATGTAGTTATGCTAGTTATGCGTCTCCCTATGCATAAACCACTTTTTCTGTTTTAGATTTTTAAGTATGGGTGTGGTTTCTATAAGTTTGCAACCTTCAATAATCCAATTACGTCGCACCACAAAATTTTATTATAGCATGTCATTTTGTTGTAAAAATTCTTAGGATTATTTGAAAATCTATTTTCATATCTAATTATAAAATTTAAAGCTCAAAAAATGGTTAAAATCAAGTAGATCTATAAATATATGAAAATCTTGAAAATGGACGGTCTAGATAATATGTTGCAAGATGCACTATTTCTTGGACTTATTTTTTTCTTCATATTTATATACATCTCTATGTCGGGATGATCAATTAGAGGATTTTTCAATATTAAAATAACCTTTTCCAATGGATTTCTAAGGTGCATCCTTATTTCTACATTTTAAGGTTGCAACCTTATACGAACTTTTTCCTTTTAAGTAGTTTAGTTCACCAAAAGATTATGAGATTGTATACAATGTGATCATTTACCTTTGGTACGAGGAGGTCACAATTGCTCACAACCATCCGATGTGAAAACTGATATGCTCTAGTAGGTGTACATGATAGACTCAGTGGTCAATGAAATTACTTACAACAAAATAAGAGAAAAATTTCTTTTGAACTTTGAGTTTGGTCAATGAAACAAATGCAGCCATCCAATTTCACATCCAGTGGTCAAGATTAATTGTGACCACCTTGTACCAAAGTTAAATGGTTTCATTATATACTTTCCCAAAGATTTTATGCTCTAGTAGGTGTATATGATAGACTCAGTCCATCTGGTAAGACCTTATCTAGGAGCATTCTTAGATCCAAAATTTTGGGTTTGAGTTTAGAATTTTCTAAAGATCTAAAATGCAAAAGTTTATTTTATTTTATTTTATCTAATATTAATCCTCTAGAAATTTTAGATTGAGAAAAATACTAAGTAAGTATTTTGCTCGATACTCTCTATTTATTTTCTTGTCTTTGTTTCTTTTTTTTTTCATCAATTTGGTAAGATTTGTATTCTATATCTCTCTACATATATAATTTATATATGTGAGAAGAAATATAACCTTCC